GCAGGGGCACGGGTATGTCGCTCCACGACGTGGGGGGGCAGACCAGTAGAAAGGCGTCGGCGTCGAAGACGTAGAGCTCGTTGAAGCAGGCGCGCGAGTCGCAGCCGCCAAAGACGAAAATGTTGGAGCCCTACGAGGGTGGTCGTGTGCGCCCGCAGCGACGTGTGCGGAGCGCCCGAGACGGGGGCGCGAGACCAGTACATGCCCGAGGCGGGCGCTGGGGGCACATCGGGCGCCGTTTTGGGGTCCTGCAGAGGGGGGAAGGCCGTGAACTGGCCGCGCTGCGGAGGCGCCCGCGTGTGCGAGTGGACGCTGCTCGAGTGTACGGTGCTCGCGGTACGAGACGGTGTCGGGCCGGGTGTTGGCCTTCCGGCTATTGCTGACGTAGACCGCAACGCCATCGGGCGGCGGGAGTCTCTGTCGCGAGCATCAGCGCTCGTGGGAGCGGATTCGGCCTCGGTGGCATGTTTGCCGGGGGGCATGGACGGTGGGGGTTTCGGCGCGAGGGACGAGGTGCTTGTCGACGAGAGGGGTGTTTTGGGTGGCTTGGACGAGCTGTGGAGAGACGCTTGGGAGGCGGATTGGGAGCGTTGTCGAATGGATAACTCGGAAGGCTTTCGTCTGCGGTCCTGGCTCTTGGTGGACAGGTGACCAGGGGTGTGGCTTCGGGGGACAGCAGGGCGCTCGGGGACGTCGTCGTCGTCCTCTTCGTCCTGGTCGTCATCGTCTTCTTCGGTCCTCCGTTTGTCTTTCCTGTGCGAACGTGACTCGGTGGTCGTTGAGGGAGCCGTGATCTTTTGGGATCGCACGGCTTTGGAACGGTGCGCTGGAGACTTGGGGTTCTTGGTGTCGAAAGACCTGGTGGCCGAATCAGCCATGGCTCTGGCGTGGTATGGTCATTGCCCTCGGGTGGTGATGGGGGCCCTGCGAGGGGTAGGCCGAGTGGAGGGGGGGAGGGGGGAAGGAAGAAGCTCGTCTTCGTGATGGAGGTCAAAGGGGAAGAGGGAGGCTTGGGAGGTTGCTGAGAGTTGGGAATCCCCCCACTTGAGATTTGGCTGGGCGTTGGGCCGCCCTCGCCCTCACTGCGCCCGCCCGCCCGCCCGCCCCTGGACTGGCCTCGATGACATGCTGTAGCTCGCCGTGTCTCGTGTCTCGGCTGGTCCTGCCAAGTGCGGGCCCTTGCATTGGCTGTCAGGTTGATTTTCGTTAATTGGTGTACTTCAATTGGACAAAATTCGTGATTGGTCAATATTCGCTCACTGGTGAGCCTCGTGAGAATTGTGCATAGGTACCTACCTACCTCTACTTCAGCTAAGGTACCTATTTTGTATTGAGGTACTCCTGAAGGTACTAGGTACTCCGAACGAGCGACGCTACATACAGATGGACGAGAGGACCCTGACGAGCCTGACGAGGCCAGAGCCAGATAGTCCCCAGCAAGAGGTAAACAGCATTGCCGTCGCCGGTGGCATAAGCTCAAAACCTTGTTCCCGAGCACAAATTTCAATATATAACGAACCTTTCATCTGGCATGAGAATTGGCAATGGGCTACCGACATGGAAATCATGTTCTGGTGACACAGGATATCACGTTGGATGGTGGCCGCCTCACTATCACCACCACCCTGCTCCTGGACCCAATACAATATGGCCGCATTCTCCAAAAACAGGATGCCGACGGTAGAAGAAGCCTATCCCGCGGCTGCATTATCCCAAGGAACGAGATTATCCCCAGGGATTTCGTCTGTACAGGGCCATGCCGCCAAGGCTCGGAAGAGGCTGCACCGATTACTCCAAACCTTGGTGCTCCACGTCACGGAAGCCTACGACAATGCCGGCCGCGACGACGGCAAGAGGCGAGCCAAGATACGCAGGTCGCGGGGAACACGCAGGCCGACGCGGTGGCGCGGGCCGCGAGGGCGAGGCTGCGCGGGCGACGTCGGGGGACGGCGGGTAACGGGTGTGGGAGGTGGACGTCGAGATCCGGGACAACGACCTGGCGGCGCACAGAGCCGTCGAGCGAGGGTTGCGGCGTCTTGGTTCCTTTGCGACGTGAGTCCTTTGCGACGTGGGGCAAATCAATGCGACGATATACATGTGCACAGATTTCAAGGCACGTAGACATGTGGTTTCATTCGCATGTGCCCCAGAAGCTTCGGGACGGACCCATGTCCCTCGGACCGCTATGCCATCAATCATCGATACCACGCCACTCGCCCTCGCCGCCAGCCTTCTTCTGCTGCTTCTTCCGCAGCTTGCTGCCCTCGATGGCGCCCTTGCGATTGTTCTCCCTGCGTCGCTCCCAGCCGCTCTGCGACGTGATCATGGCCCCCGCGCCGCCCGTGCGCCTCGACTCGACACCCCTCTCCTTGAGCTTCTTGCGGTCGTCCTTGCTGACGTCGGGCAGGGCGTCCAGGAGCCACTTTTGCACGCCGGCGGCGTCGCCCGTCTTGCCGGCCTGCTTCTCGCTCACGGCGATGACGTTGGCGACCGTCTTGACAAAGGCTATGTCGTCCTTTGTGTAAAAGGTCACGGCGACGCCGCCCTCGCGGCCGGCGCGGCCCGTGCGGCCGGCGCGGTGCACGTAGGCGGCCGTCGAACCGGGAATGTCGTAGTTGATGATGCCGTTGACGCCGGCAAAGTCGACGCCGCGGGCGAGCACGTCGGTCGTGATGAGGACCCAGACCTCGCCGGCGCGGAAGCGGCGCATGATGCCGGCGCGCGCCGCGTCGGTGAGGCCGCTGTGGAGGGCGGCGATGCGGGCGGGGCCGCCGGCGGCGAGGGGAATGTCGTACTTGAGCTCCTCGGCGAGGGCCGACGCGCGCTCGATGGTCTGCGTGAAGACGATGAAGGGAGGGCGCAGCGGCGGGCCGGCCTCGTCGCCTGAGGTGGGGTGGAGGAGCTGGCGGAGGCCGAGGAGCTTGCCCTGCTCCGAGGCCGTGTAGATGAGCTTGTGGGTGATGTTGGGCACGGCCGTGTCCTTGAGGCCGACGACGAGGCGGATCAGGGGGCTCGTTGATGCCTTGGCGGCGAGCATGTCGGTGACGAGCGTCTCAATGTTGGAGCCCATGGTGGCGGACCAGAAGGAGATGCGCAGGTCTGGGTTGGTGCAGGCCGACCAGACGCCAGTCGTGGCATCGCGGAAGAGGGGTTCCAGCATGACGTCTGCCTCGTCTAGTTCAGGCACCTTACACA